ATGTAAACCACTTTAATAAAAGTGAGTTCTCAAGCCAGTAGGATCCACTGGCTTGTATTTTTAATATTATCAAGCTGAGTAACATGATCACTCGTGACATTATGAAGTCTCTAAGAGCTAAGCCAAAGTCCTTAGTTAGAGAGGAGGAAGGCTTCTAATTAATAAAGTGTGTAACATCTGCATCCAACTCCATCAGCAAAATCAGATGGAGTAAGACAGAAATGACTGAAGACAGCCAGTCATTGATTTTAAAAAAAAAAAAAAAGGGAGGAAAAAAATCCAATGACTGAAAGCCAAGTATTTTCTTTCGAAGAGAGCGATTACAAACATATTTTTGTGCATCTTTGTTTAAGCTGAAGGTAAACACAAAATGTGCTAAACTGGCCTAACTGCAAGCCCTGTGCACTCCCTCACGCCACCACAGCGTTTGCAACCTGTCCCTGCTGCTGGGTCAACAAGGTGTAAGGCACGTTCCTCTGCTGAGATGGGAATGAAGGAATTCTCCCTTCTCTTAGCTGTCAACAAAAAGTTTGTTCTTGGCAGGTTTCTGTTTTGGCATGATCAGCTAAAAACTGATGTCAAATAATATGTGTTTAGCCAACAACTCTTATGTACAACTGGTCAGACTTCCAGCCCTTCTCTGGAGGGTCTAGGCCTGAACAAACAAACAATCTCAAGAGTTAGAACCCAAAACTCCAACCCCAAGGCACTGAGGCACCCCAACCCCCAGTGCTCAGAGAGGGCTCTGACCCAGCAGGGAAAGCTTATCAGTTCAGGATATCCAAGGCAGTGTAGTGCCAGCTGATGCTGGAGGAAGGCAACCACCAAGGGGGCCATCAAATCCTATTTGCTGAGTTCATTTTGCAAATAGCACCTTTTGATTCTGCCCCCTCCTGCTGCTCCTGCCACTTCTTGCTAAGGTCTCTGCCCAGCAGGTGATTGCTCTCCTCAGCCAGCTGAACTCCCAAGGCCTCCAACACACCTACAAGGCAGCGTGTTGCCTCCTGCCAGTGTACTTTTAGTTGCCATAATGTGACTCCTCAGGTCAGTGCAGAACAGAGCCCCAAGCCTGGTGAGACAGCACCTCTGACAGCTTTTGCAGTAGCAGCCATCACTGAATACATTTCAAATGATTAATTTTCTTAAAAATAAAAATAAACCTAGTGAATTCACATGTGCTAACAAGTTAAAAATAATAATAGGTGTCTGTGACCATGCTGCTTCTGTCTGAAGCCTTCAGGGGAATTCAGTTGCTAAGAACAACTTCCACAGCTTGCCATATTTCTATGTGTTAAACAACAACCAAAGAACTATAGGCAAAAGTCCCAGCTGTCAAGCATGAGGAGTGTAGGGGCTGGCTGGGGGAGTACAAGGCATTTTTCTCTTGTGTTATATATGCATATTAGATAATCTAAAACGAAAATGAAATGAGGCAAGGACAGAGTGGGAAGCATGTTACTGTCTCTCCAAAATACCATGCCCAAAAGTTTACAGGAAAAATTCTGTTTGACCTGGTCATTCTGTGCTTTATGTGGTGCTCCCAACAGAGCTTTACAGAAGAACCTTTCCAAGCAGAATGCACCACCAGCTCTTTCAGGCAGCAAGAAAGGCTGAGTTTTGTTCAGCTACCTGGATAGAATTTCTCTTCTAGGCAGGTCTCAGACACAGAGAGGAGAGCTGGAGGCAAGTGTTAGAAGTAGCATCCAGGAGTGCTGACTTATTCCACACAAACAGCATTTGGGCCTCACTTTTCAATCTTGTCAGTCTGGACTCCTTCTGTGAGATTATTTTTTTCAATACTGATTCATAGGAAAGAGGCAACGCTGTCTTTGTTTTTTCACACACAAATAAAGACTGAAAAAGTTACTTAGGCTTTTAGCAAAAGTAATTTGATTTTTCATGATTTGCTTTATTTCTAAGGTCTCACTATTCAGCCATAAAACTTATGCCTGTGTTGACACCTGACACAAAGGATATGAGCTCAGAACTTTGGGGTTTAACATACATATTGGAAAACATGGAAAAGACACCTCCCTCTCCCCATTCCTGGGGTTCAATACATGGTGCACATGGCATCCCTGGTGGTCTTGCAAGAAAAGGATGCTGAGAACAAAATATTAATGACAATCAGGAGGAGGCACCTTATCTTCATTTCCCCAAAGGCAGACTTGTCCCATGGGAAGGAAATATTCCCCTGCCATTTTGAAAGTTTGTCTCTATGTCTACAGTACATAAACAATAAATACAGAGCACACTGAATAATTTCTAAGATTTCAAATGAATAATTAGTCAAAATTTTAAATCTGAAATGTGATGAGAGGCAGGTCACTATAACTGGTAAGGCACAGACCCAAGACTTGCAACTATCCACCTAGTGCTGTAAAAAGAATTGTGTTCACAGTATCCAAACTGTGTCTTGGCATCATATGATTTAGGCAGGTGTTTGACTGTGGTAGAGCTTTTACTGTCTACCAAGATATTCATTCTTAAGCTGAAAATTCTCTTCATGGACCTTAACACAATGCTCTTTAAAAGCTCATGAAGCATCACAGAACTCTGCCAAGTCAGTATTTAATTTTCAGTATTTCAGTTTTATTAATTCCCTATTTAGCCAGTTCTTTGATTGGTTAAACTTCGTGTCTGTAAACCCCTTGGCTGTATATTTACCCGAAAAGGCTCAAAATGCTACTTTAGTCTAATAGGTAAACACGTGCTTAGAAAATATACATACTGGGGGAAAAATAAGAAAAAGGGATGAATATCATCAAAACATCATGGGGAAAACCTGTACAATTATATGTGTATCCTGTTAATTAATTATGGTGTTTTATGCAAAGGATGTACTCAGCTCATAATTGAATTTCTCTGAATGTGCCTGGCTCTGCGTATCTGCAGCAACAGGACCCTCTGTTACTTTATTGGTTGTTAATGGACATTAGTTGGTGATCATCACATGGCACAGCTTCAGTCTCCTCCACATCCTACCAAAATGACTGTTACATAGGAAGCAAACTACATCAGAACTAAAATCAACGAGCACATAAAATCTCTCCCCGTGAGCTTCTGGCAAATGCTCTGATTTTTGGAGGTGCTTGTAGACACTCAGTCTGATCTACTCCTCATAAATCCCCCCCATGGCATTTGGAGATATAAGGTAAAACACTGAGTACCTGCTTATAAATTGTACCTCATTCTTTCAGTATCCTGAAGGAGAGAAGAACTTCCAGTTGGGAAGACAGCGTGATAAGGCAAAGATTATTATCCGTGTGCACAAGGGAACTGATGGTGCTTACACAGCTAATTTTGAGTGGTTGTGAGGGGTTGACTTGAGAATGATAACATTTTCTTTTTTCTTGTTTTTATAGAACCTTTTAGTACATACACAAACCACCTAAATAGTAATAATGTATTTATTGACATTGATGCAGCACAGAGGCTAAGGAAGTACACAAAGATATGTAAAATCAAACCTGTTGCATAGGTATTACCTAATATGACCACAGAACAATATTTTAGACACAAAGATTTTCAATTTTCACTTCCAACATGACAACATTCATCGTGTTTCATCTAGAATTTCTCACAGTGGAAACCAATGTATAAGTAGATGTGCTCGGCCCAATAAATGATGCTTGAAGTGAGCCATGTTTTAGAAAGCCCCCCTCTTCCTATGCAAAGATGTCAGTGACTGCCAAAATCCTGGTAAACTGGTCTAGAGACAAACTACCCACTCAGCAATGCAGGCACCTGCCCATGGCATTCCCAGAGGAACTCACCCAACTTCAGCTGTCACTCACTGCAGTTCCTGGAGCCTTTGTCTGACTGAAAACCCTCTCCCCATCTCCTGCAAGTACAGATCAAGATACTTCCTTTCCTCATCTTAAATTAGCTCCTTAAGTTAAGGCATTTTAAGAACTCCCAGAAACTCTCAAATTTCTTTAGTTTTTTTTTAAAACCCCACATAAATTTTCAGCAATTGTGGAATTTTACATTAAATTTTAACAAAGTGAAGGCGTAGAAGAGACATTATAAGATCAGTAACTATTCAGTTTTGTTATTTCTGAGTTGGAGTTCTAGACTTTATTACTTTTTCTAGTAAATTTTTAAATAATATACCCATTAAAAAAAAGAAAAAGGAAGAAAGAGGAGGGAAAGAAAGGCAAGGAGTTTAAGGAGTTTTTGACTGCTGATCATTTCAATTACTCTCTCTGTAGAGCCATCTCTAAGTTCTCTTGACTGATTAAAGCCACATAATGTAAAATCTTATGTTAATTTGCTTTTAGTACTTACTTTAAATTCCAATAAAGTTGGACTGCACATTCAAATTCTCCATTCAGACAAGTTCTGAATGTGCTTATTTGCACAACTGAAATATGTGGGTTTGTCCACAACAATGTAATGCCAATGGATGAAAAATACCTTTCTAACTGCCATGTTTCAGCATAATTAAAAATCATTCTTAGGGCAGACTTGATATTAATTATGCTTGATTTTTATTTACTTTATATTTGATAAACTTGCTGTTAAATTAAAACAAAAATATGGAAGTGTGGTTGCTATAAGTACAGCTACTTTGAAAATCAAAGGAAAACAAAAATATTTTCAACGGGAATATTCCTTTTTCTGCCCTGCCTTACATTTTTTGCACATTTGAGACTTCCAAAAATTTTAAATGGGAGTTCTGGGTGTGACAGTTCTGTAAAATTGACTCTTCACAGGGAACAGTGACACAGAGAAAGGAAGTGAAAAAGAGAATTCACCTTGGAAACTTTTAACTGGATTGCACAATTTGCCACTGTGTTCAATATATTTCAAAGGTACCCCATAACAGCTTGTCGTTCTTCCCAGAGGTCACTGTAAAATCATATCCTGTATCACTCCAGATTTCTGAGAGTGTTCCTTGTCTGCCAGCTGTTCCAGTGAACTTTGGTAACCAAGGCAAAGTCTGCAGGGTTATCACCCTGCCCCTTACACTGTATTATCTAGAAAACCATAAACCTTATTAAAAAAAAAAAGAGATGAAAAGCTTTATAAAACCTTGTGTGAGCAGCTCCTGTTTCCAGCCTCCCCTCTGGAGCTGCAGGTGGTTCGAGGCTGTCGCCGCCATGCCGGCTGATTACAATGGCACCTGGGAGATGGAGACCAACGAGAACTTTGAAGGCTACATGGTGGCTTTAGGTGAGAGAAAAAATATTAACTGCACAGAGAGAAGAGGAAAGGTTCCAATTATAAGTAAAAGCCTTCTAAAAATTAATGAGCTTGTTTCTGTAGCGTGTGCTGGGGCATAAGGGCTTCTGCCAATCAAGTGAAAATCAACAAATCACTTATAATTACCAGGAGATAAGTATATAAGCAAGAGAAGATTTGTAGCCAAATATATTATTCTTTATTTAGATAAATGAAAAAACAGATACAGATGGGGGGAAAAAAAAATCCAAAATAACAGGCTTTCAGATACAGAAACTCTTTTTATTCCTGTAAATACTTACTGTACCAGTGAAGCCACAGCCTGGTTAGCTCTGCTAAAGAAGAACAGGATGTTTTATATCACTAAAGCAACACTAATGCTAATACTTAATTAATGCTTTGAACTACTAAAATTATATGTTACATCAATGAAAAATTTGATCCTTTATGTGATTTTGTACTAGTTTTACTCTTACCAAAGAATCTTAACCCTAATTGATTTATCTGTTCAGATTGAAAGAGAAGGAATACACATAAACACTTATAAATAAACTCTCATCATTATTCACCAACAACTGAAAATATTTATAATTTCCTCAAAGCTTCAACTCTCTTAAGAGAGAAAAGCAAGTTTCGGTCTTCATAGTTTTTGCCCTTTGTATTTATGGAAAAAAGATCAATAACTTTGGGGACACCTGTAGGTAAGATACAGAGACACCTGTGAGGCTTTAAAAAAATAAGAATGATTAAGGCAATATCATGAATTTCGGGAGAAGGATACACACTGAAGTGATTTGCATGCTGGGGTTTGGCAGTTAGTTAAGCATGAAGAATAATTGCTATTTTTTGTGCAACTGGAATGTGATTTCAGCTTTGAATATGGGGCCTGTTGGTCTGGCTGATGCTTAAGACAACTTCCAGTTGTCACAAATTGAGTGTTCCATCGTGCTTTTTTGTGTACACATGCACACATACTCTGTAACTTATATGAAGTTAAAACTGCCAATAGATTAGCAAAAACACCCAACACCAAAACCAACACAAAGATACATATGCTATAGGTGATTCTCAGAATGAAAAGAAATTACAGGCAAAGGGGGAAAAAATATTCTTCTGCTCTTTTTCTCACAGTTTTACATGTAGTTGGTATTTTAAGTATGAAAGTGCTCAGATTCAAAGCACACTGAGGTTTTGGTTTTTTTTTAAATTCATCCATCCTTTTAATTAATGCACACATATATTCTATACTTTAATTAAAGAATGCTTTTGTCCTTTCAGTCAGGAACTTTGGTTTTATCATAAACATGTTACAAAGTATTTTAACCTACCAAAATTGAACAATATATCCTTTTTATTGCTTGTATTGTTCAAAATGCAGTTATGAAAACCATGCTTTAATAAAACCTCCCCTAATTTTCTCCAGGAGCTACAAGACTAATATATTAGTCAGAAATAGCATTTCTTTAGAGGTCTAGACAATTTTTTCCCTCGGAGGGAACTAAATTTTATGTTGTCTGGCTATAAATCAGACCCAGAGATACCTTTAATCCACCCCAGCAGATAAAATATACCCAAGAAGTCTTGAATATAAATACCGAACGAGAACATTACTCCCTGCGTTAAAAAGTCACACTTTTTTAAAGCCAATCCTCTTACTCAACTCTTTTAGCACTTCACAAGTAGTCTAATGAATCCACCAAAAGAAAAAGGGCTCCTTTAGAACGTGGCATTGCCCAGCTGACAGTGATTAACTCCCATGCAAAACCACACTAAAGGATGGCTGGCAAACCAAACCCATTTTTCAACCCCTTGCAGCAGCATGTGAGATTATTTCATTTGCATAGAGCACCACAGTAAGATTCCCTGCCAGCTGGGCAGAAATATTTATTGCAGCTGGTAATGCTGCTGGCATGAGGTGGATTGGCTGGGGCAAGCTGTCAGCATGGTAATCTATATTCTGCCTTTGGGAACTTCCAGTGCATTCCACTGCAAGCAGTTGTTTACATTAGAATGTTCATCACCAGCAAAATAAGGATGTTAAGGAGACAGTGCTGCGTGACATGTTCACAGAATATTGAACAGGAACTGGGAAATGCTCTGCATGGATACTTTGGCTTTTGACTTTGTCTCCTTTTAAACTGAAATTTATTTCTGCGTCCACTGTCTGACAATAATGGGTGTCAGGCTTTTATCAATTGTTTCTCTTTTTTTATTAGTAAATATTTCATTATTTTAGGTTAATTAATTAACCTCTTATATACTCCCACAGGCTGTAGGTTCATCATAAAAGTAACACGCCAGAATCCCTTTGATTACGTGCTCATTCTCCCTTGGTTACACACTCCTTCTAAAATGCTTTATTTCTGAAAAGGAATATTATCCTGAGATCCTTCTTTAGAAGTGGCCAACATCTGTAATCCTGCAGGACAAAGAGCAGTACCCCCATGTGCCTAAGGGAGCTCCCTGAGTTCCTGCATGCTTAGGAAAGGCAATGGCAAAGGAATGGCTCCCTGTTATTAGATGATAACAGTTCTCCTGCATCCCACAGCTTCGTGGGGAAGGGAGGTCAAACAGGCAATGTCAGTCTGAATAGCCCCTGTTTTTTCATGTTCTCAAAAAAACCTGGACATTCAGGTAATTTAAACACTATTGGTTGTATGCTGTAGCTCTGCTCACATTCCCACAGATATCCTGTTAATAAATAAATTTATAATCAGTGGAAGATCATCGAATTGAAAGTGTACTTGCAAACACAAGATGATTTTTATTTGAAATCATCTTTTTCTCTGCAAAATGTTCTAGGTAAAAGCATTATTTGTGGAACTATATTACACATATTTTTTTAATCTATAAATATATGCTCTTTTTTTATTATTTTTGGTATCAAATACTGGAATTTTCATTGGGACACTCTCTCTTTCGGTTTTTGACAGGTATTGATTTTGCAACTCGTAAGATTGCAAAACACCTGAAACAAACAAAGGAGATTACTCAAAATGGAGATAATTTTAAAACAAAAACACTCAGCACTTTCAGAAACTATGATCTGGATTACACAGTGGGAGTGGAGTTTGAAGAACAAACCAAAGGACTGGATAACCGAGTGGTAAAGGTAAAAATCTGGTACCCGAGTCAGCAGTTTCAAAAATCAGCTGAATACATTAAATAAGCCCCCAGTATTTCACAAACATCAGAGGATTTTTATAAAGCAGAAATAATTTGCATCTTGAGACAGTTTTCTTTCCTGCTACAAGCATTTATTAGAAATGTGAATCGGGATGGTAACTCAGACTCGAGAGGACAATCATTAATGACAGGTTTTTCTAGTAGGGAATTTTTCCAGCTTTTCTACTTTCTTTATGTATTTAGAAAGTAGAAAAACTTATTTTTACCTTTGTATCCTCTTTAATGAAACTTTAAATTCATCCCTGTGAATTTAGGACTGTTTCCATGTCAATATAAATCTTCAGTTTGCAAAGGTTGTGTTCAGAGTGTATTTTTGATCTGAGCCTGATCAGCCTCAGCTGGGCAGTTTAACAGTTAGACACTGTTAAAAATAAACTGTGCTTGGCTATGAACCTTAAGGGAGCTTCAGGAAGGGGCAAGAAAGAAATGTGAGCCAGAGCTCGCAGTGATCCAGGTGGCAGGGCTGCTGGCAGGGGCAGAGGGGCAAGGAGGCCCAGCAGTGCATGCTCTGATACCTTTTGGATTATAGGAGTAACCCGAGCTCAGAATTCCCCCAGGAATGTGTGGGGATGTGTTCAGACACACAGGTTTGGACCAAGGGCCATGCTGTGCATTAGCCCCTTCCTGAAGCTCCTGTGGCAGAGTCAGTGAGTCAGTTCCTGTGGGGCCTTCAGACAAGGCTCTGTCAGAGAGGAAAGGAACACACTTGAGTCCTAATTCATTTACTGAATTCAGCCTCATGTTTCTGTATCAATACCACTGCAGGTTTACTCTCTTCTCGCCCCTAAAATAATTAAGCAAGATCTTCCAAGCTAGAAAGCCCAGTAGATCTTACATTTCCAATGCCTGTCCCCTTCCAAGCCTTGCTGATCCTGCATCCCCTGCCTCCTCTTGGCACCATGCCCTGAATCCCCGTGTCTGACTCTTTGCCATCACCACAGCCGTGTTCTGCCACTCAGCTCTCAGCTGCCAAGCTCGGAGAAGCTGAGACCAAGGCTCCCTGTCAAAAGATCTGGTTTGTTTTGGCAATTGCCACAGGAACCTGGCAGCATAAAGGACATGTTTACATTTGAACTCACATCATCCTGCACTGGAGTGGCACAAATTTAACATGAGTCATTGTTTATTCACTATGGATCACTTTTCATTCTCAAACTAACTTTGTGCAGTGTAATTCCAAGACTTCTTCCAAATTATTTCTCATTGACAGCACTGCAAGTCACCAAATAATAAAACCCTTTTTTTTTCCCCCCCACTATCCTGAATATCCCTGTATTGAAATTTTCTTCCTATCTCTTTCTCCAGTGAGCCCTGGGTAGGACATATTCCTGTGACAAAGTCCATGCTTTAAAACATTGTTCCCACACCTCTTTAGGTCAGTTGAAGGCATTATGAAGGATCTAAGGACTCATTAGAGGCATCACTCCTTAAATCCATCAACTAACATTCCTCTAGTGCCCTTCACCCCTACTAAAGCATTTGCCTTTCCCTGCAAAATCTGTTCACTTGCAGACTCTTCTCTTCACTATCAATGGGAGAGAGGGAGGGAAGAAAGGCAAGGAAAGGAAGAGAGGAAGGGAGAAAGGAAGGGAAGGAGGGAGGGAGGGAGGAAGGAAGGAAGGAAGAAAACACGGTGTGTACATTTATAACCCTACCTGGTTTAATTACTTTGGCCTAATATTCTTTTCTTAACAAATTATATTATTTGTTTCTAATGAGAAAAGAAGCAAAAGAGAAGCATGTCATGCCATTATTCTCTGGACTGCTGTAAAAGAATGTTCCGGTCATTTTATTAACTAAACAATGCCACAAACACATTAAAGTTAGATGAACGTAATAAAATTGGTAGGCAGCATTTAAATGTAAAGAGGGCATGGATAATTTAGAGAGCATGTAGCTTGAAAATTCCGTAAATAAAAAAGAAATTAACTGAAATGGAATGACTTTTGTCGCATTAATAGAAAGCTCCCTCATAAGAGAAATAAATTATCCAGTGCTGGAGTAGAAAATGAACTAAGGTCCCAGTACACTTGGAGCTTTACAATAGCTGAACTTACATGGACTGTAACTGGTCTCTAAAAAGGATTTGTCTGAGACATGGTTAAGTATGCCCCTAAAGTACAGTGTTTCAAACCTAGAACAGTTCAAACAAAATTGCTGTGAATGTACCCTGGCACATCTGCAGATATTAGAGAGGATTTAGCCTGTAAAGGCTGACAGTTATCCTGCTGACAGTTATCCTTCTTACTGACAGTTATCCTGCTCCTGGACAAGAATCAGCACACCCAATACCCTGTCTTCTAGTGACAGACTCTGAATCACACCAAATCATCAAATGGTTGAGGATGGAAGGGACCTCTTGAGATCACCTTGTCCAACCCCTCTGCTGCAGTAGGGTCAGCTACAGCACATTGTCCAGCTTATGATCACATCTCGTTAAATGTCTTTATGAAAGTGCATGAAAACATATAAAAAAATTTATTGTATGAGACAATACTAACATCCACTTTCTCTTGTTATTTTATGCAGACCTAGAAAAGGTGTTAGCACTGCACTAGTTGGTATGAACCCCCAGGTCTTCACCCATCTTACTAATGGCTTTAAACAGCAAGGAAAAAAAAGTACAATTTGCATTTATTGCACAATTATCCATTAACTCAGCAGTTCATTGGTCAGTGAACACTTGATACATGTGTATGGGAAGAAACACCTGGAAATGCAAACAAAGCACTGCAAAACTTCCCTTCAAAATGCTGTTGGCATCTTGAATGCACTGGGGTTTTGGTTAAAGGCATTTGAGTTTTTTTAGGAGGAAGATGGGAAATGATAGAAAGCAGTTGTGTAATTTTGTATTTACATTTTTTGATTGAACTTATTTTCATGTGTTCATTAACTTCTCATTAACGTATCTGCCTTAATTATCTGATTCATGCAGACACTGGTGACCTGGGACGGTGACAAACTGGTCTGCGTTCAGAAAGGTGAAAAGAACAACAGGGGCTGGAAGCACTGGATTGAAGGAGACATTCTGCATCTGGTAAGGGCTGTTGTGCAGATACATGGCACATCTCTGAGGGTGCAACACACTCAGGTTTTCCATTTCAGATGATCCTTTTTCCAGTTAGAAAGGTCTTTATTTAGACGGCTCTGATCTCTGAACTCTAAGGAAATTACCCTTAAGTAATAGGAATGCTCTATTTCTTTCCACCTGCTCCCAATTAAGTCATAACCCTGCAGTGGGGTTTTTGCTCCAGTCCACTGCCCTCCAGCCATTAACCCTTCCTGTTACGTTGCATCTCTAACTCTGTTAGAGATTCATCTCATCTCATCATCTCATTCTCTTATAATCCCTGGTAGGAGAAAAAAAAAGCAATACCAAAAAAACAATCAGGTAGATTGCAAGAGAAATGTTATTTTTCATTCTGAAAGAAGCACTGTGAAATTTTAGCACACGATGTTGTAATACAGATCAGAAACCCATGGATACTCAAGAGGATCCCGTAAACAACCTCTACTGCAACTGTTTTTGCTAGTACAATAAAAACTTCAAAATATTCATACATCTGAGGTAGTAGCTGGAACCCAAAGACAGAAGAGGTGAGTCCAAGAGAGGCCTGAAGAACCCGTGCAGGAAATAAGCAGGCAGTGAAGTCCAGAATGATTTCAAAATAATAGAATCATAGAAGGTTGGAACAGACTTCCAAGACCATCAAATCCAAGATCTGACTGAATACCACCATGCCCACCAAACCATCTACTCATTTTTTTGAGCATTTCACATAATGATAATGATTCCCGAGTTTCCTGGGAGAGCAATCAAGAAATGGGCATGATAGTGTTGGATGGCACAATGGTGGGGGGGAGAAAGATTGTGGAGGAGATCTCACTGTTCTCTCCCACGCTTTGCACCCAGACATCTGCTCCTTCACCTGTTTCCTCTGTGGATTCTTGGTGTGGCAACTACAGTGGCTTGGGTCTGTACCCCTGAAAGGTCAAAGCTATGAGTTAAAACCATGATCTGCCACCAAACTAAAAGTCACCCATCCAGTGACTTCAAATCTACTTTAACACAAAGCTGACCTAACAAAGGTTCTACAGGATGGAACCACCATTGAGGCTAAGACTGGGGGAAACAGAGGGGCCAAGTAGATCCTTACAAGAGTCTTCAGAAACTGTATTGCAGGTTTGGCTCCCTGCTGGCCAAAAAGCCAGCTCCAGCTCCCTGCACAGTGCTGTTTGCACAGGAATGCTGGCTGATCAGACTAAGCAAACTGCCTACATTGCAACAAGCAGCTGTGCCAAACTTTAAGGGGTCAGCTGCAACACTGGGCAAAAATGGCGTATTGTCCTGGCCCCTGAGAAATAGCTGGGCACACCTCCGAAGCAAATCATCTTTTTAAAGTATTCCTGGTTTTTATTATTTCCTTGTTTCATTGCTTCTCATGAATTATGAGGTAACGTGAATTATAAACTAGTACAGTATATTGTTTTAATAACAGAGCATGAAAAGGCCTTGCATTAAAGCGCAGTTTTTATGCATTTTTCATATTTATTCTTCTTAGAGTTCAATTCAAGTGTCAAAAACTAATTACTGCAACATGAGGTGCATGCCTGCTGTTTGGTTACATATATTACACTATTCTTTCTGTTCTCTTTTTCATAAGCATCAGTTTTTAATGTGGTGGCTCAGCTGTAGTAATTTCTGGTGGGATCTGCTGTGTATGCAAAATATAACTTCTACCACTATATATTTACTCATTGTTTTAATACTGTAGGAACTGACATGTGAAGACCAGGTGTGCCACCAGACGTTCAGGAAGAAGAAATAAAATTGAGCAGAAAGCTGCCCTGATCTTCATCTCATTGTTCTGCTGTTATGTTTTGTCTAAAAGAAGGATAAAACCAGATTTTCACTCCTTTAACACTGCTATGTGAATATATTTTGTTCCTGTTTATGGAAATGAACACATTTTATAGAAATAACATCAAACAGTTACAAACCTCATAAATTTCTTTGCCTTTCAGTCTGGAGGTAAATAAAAGTAATTGTCTTTCAAATACTGCTTCCCTATGTCTTTCAAATAATTTCCAGAGGAATGTCCTTTAGCAACAAGGCTGACAATTAACAGTCACAATTATCTCAGCCACAGTATATCTCTCTATAGTGCTGCATTATCATAATATATTTGGATGACTGAGTAAAATTGGACATTCATTGGAGTGTTTCTATTTAATTTACTCCTGGATCACTAAGTCCACACTTTCAGGTACCAGAATGGCTCACTGAGCACAGTACTTGGCCTTTCACAAGATGTTCACTTGAATTTGGCCCAGGTCTATAGCTCCTAGTAGTTCTCACCTGATAAATGTCTCACGGCCATGGGGAAATGCTGCAGCTCCTTAATATGGTGGATCAATGACAACGCTGTAACCTCCAGTTAGAAATAGCATCCTACTAAAAATCCCAGTGGAGAAATCTGCTGTTTGAAGCAAACTCTGCATTTTCACAGTTGCTCTGTGGTGCGAAAACTAAGGCACACTCAGGATGTAAGAGGAAAACTTCAGAGCATACACAGTCTGCATGTTCCCTGTGCATAAAGAGCACCCCGCACGCTGCACTCTTCGCCTTGCACCTGCCTTTCAGAGACTTGAAAAAGAAAAGTCATTTCCATGCAACTCTACTCAGTTTTATTCAGGGTTTTTCAAAAGAATTCATGTTCTTTGCTAAAGGCAAGTTCAAGTTACCCATGGCTGATGAGCACTACTTCAGTAGACGAACTGAAATGATTTGGCAAAATGCGTGTGCGCCTTCCAGGGAACTGAAGAAGAGCTGGTATGCCCAAAAGCTCATCTGCTTTTTCCCAGCTATATGAACTATTAATAATACATACTGTCTTTCCTACAACCTTGCCTTTCAGATATAAAAACTTTCACAGCAACTTTATCACTGTTAAAGTTCCCTCTTGTCCATAGCCCCCATCTTCTGTTTAGTATGGGAGGGGTGGAAGTTCACTAAATAGATCAGTGGTAGGGAAGAACAGAAAATATGTGGAAAAAGAATTTCATAAATGGAGGAACACATGCTTTCTCCTCATCCCTACCTGTTCCTTAGCCCACTCACTGTCAATAGCTCTGGATAGGAAAGGAATGAGACAGTCCCAGCTGAAAACTAGGTTACATCTGCAAAAATCTGATTATCATGTCACCAATACTTACATGGCCGTGGACATTATCCTGGTGCCAGCTGGGATTGAGTTAATTTTCCTCTTAATAGCTAGTTTTGTGGAGTTTCTGTGGCCAAGTTTTGGTAGCAGGGGGACTACAGGGGGTGGCTTCTGTGAGAAGCTGCCAGGATGGACCCGCCACCGGCCAAGGCCAAGCCCATCAGGAATGGCAGTAATGCCTCTGGGATAACATCATAAAGAAGGAAAAAAAAGTTATTTGGCAGATGAAAATTGCAGCCAGAAAAGAGCAGAGTGAGAACATGTGAACAACTCTGCAGAAACAAAAGTCAGTGGAGAAGGAGGGGCAGGAGGGGCAGAAGGGGCTCCAGGCACCGGAGCTGAGGTTCCCCTGCAGCCCATGGAGGACCATCGGGGTGCAGAGACCCACCTGCAGCCCCTGGAGGAGCCCAGGCTGGAGCAGGTGGGCATCCAAAGGAGGCTGTGACCACGTGGGAGGCCCATGATGGAGCAGGGACCCTGCAGGGACCTGCTGATCTGTGGGGAGAGGAGGCCACACTGGAGCAGGTTTTCCCTGGACTTGTGGCCCTGTGGGGGACCCACACCGGAGCAGACTGTGCCTGAAGGACTGCACCCCACGTAAAAGTGACCCCCACTGCAGCAGCTTGTAAAGAACTGTTGCCCATGGGGTGGACCCACGCTGGAGAAGGCTGTGAAGGACTGTCTCCCATGGGAGAGACCCCATGGGGAGCAGGGGAAGGACTCTTCTCCCTCAGCAGCAGCAGAAATAATCTGTGATGAACTGATCATGACCTCCATTCCCATCTCCCTCTGTCACTGTGGGGAGGAGACAGAACTTGGAAGGAGGGAGGGGTGGGGGGAAGGTGTTTTTAAGATTTATTTTACTTCTCATTCTTCTGCTCTGATTCTGTCAGCAGTAAATTTAATTAATATCCCCACTCTGTTTTGCCCGTGATGGTGACTGGTGACTGATCTCTCCCTGTCCTTATCTCAACTCATGAACCACTTGTTATATCTTCTCTCCTCTGTCCAGCTGCAGAGGGGAGTGAGAGAGCGGGTACCTGGTGTCCATCCAGGGCCAACACACTACACCAGTGCTCTGGTTTGGATTTAGTAGGAGAATAATGGGGACAACACACTGATGGTTTAGTTGCTGCTAAGTAGTGCTTACTCTAAGCCAAGGACTACAGGTTCCCATGCTCTGCCAGGTGCACGAGAAGCTGGGAGGGAGCTGGGACAGCTGATCTGAAGTGGCCAAAGGGATGTTCCATGCTTGGCTTATAAAGCTGAAGAAAAAAGAGGGAGAACGGTTGTTTCCTACTCATGGGAAGTGGTGAATTGATTCCTTGTTCTACTTTCCTTTTCATGAAGCTTTTTCTTTACCTATCAAACTGTCCTTAGCTCAACACATGAGTTTTCTCAGTGAATGGCTGTGTGGTGCTTAGTTGCTGTCTGGGGTTAAATCCTGACAGGCATAGAGGTGCATATGTAAGGATGTATTTATGAATTGGACTTTGCTTCTCCTGATAAAAGTTGACTTGGTATCAAACTTCCTGTGTACTTCAACTGAGCAATGCTTTCATGTGAGTTCACGTAGAAGAAACTGCACTTGGACTTAGGAAACTCCTTATTTTTTCTTATTCAGCCCTGACTTGGACTTTTCAGTAGAAATGTATTTAATTCCTATTTCTAAGTCTCTGACAGTTACAAGGATAAGAAGTGCCACAATTCATTAAGATTTCAAAATGTTATCCAAAGGAAGTAATCACTAGAAAGCAAAATGTGCACGTTTTAATCAGTGACATTTCTCATAGTTCTTGCCAGGAATGAGCACAATGAAGGGTTTTGTGACTTCACACCAAATCATAAAACAAAAGAAAACCTTTCATGTATCAAAAGGAACTATCATCAATTCACAAATTATGAGTTTGAAGATGGAGAGTAAACGTTCTTCAATTAGTTTCGTATTATGGTTGTGGTTCAGAAGTAAATGAAGTAGGAAACTGAGCACAAGTAAACTTTGGTTAGAAGAAAACTGGATTTGACCCTATTTTCTCATCTACTTTGGAAATGAAAATTTCAGATTCTTTAACAGGAAGTGAGAAAACGTGCAAGGATTTTTATTCTCCAAAACAACATTTTGTTTCTGGACATGCTGATGTGGAAGAACCTGCAGTATCCTTTACAACTGCATACATAGAACTGGAGACAGAGGAGATATTCATTATGTTGCATTAGAATTTCTTCCAAAGGTAAGAAATGTATCATATTTGGGATGTTAGCTTGGTCTCCAAGCTGTACAAAGCCCCTTATCTCCTTGTCAGCAGATTAAATATTTGCACTGGAGGAACAGACCTTGCTGGTAAATCAGAGCATGTTCATTCACATTTTTCAGCCCTCTGGCACACAGTGCTGTCTCAACTGTTTTGAAGGATTACCATTTGCATGGATGCTTTTCCTCACAGACAATATTACCCAAATACAGCTCCAGGAAGGGAATTTACCAGCAACCTTCTGATCCAGAAAACAGAAAAGCCTGTACTGTACAAAAGCCCTTCCTACTGATACAGTGCAGGGAAAAGAATCAGTACCATTACCTGTCAGTGGACTTCTCAAATGACAATGACAAAGCTGTGTGTAAGAAAAGTTTATGGCAGAATTACTAAAAATCCTCTCCATTGAGCCAGTTTTTCTCTCCAGAAGTTACCTGCATTTTCTTGCCAGCTGCTAAAAGAAGAGAGCAACACTGCAGGCAAAGGCTGTGGAATAACACTGTAAATGCTCCTGCCAATAACACTCTGTGGTAAGTCCCTGTGATGCTGCCTTTCTGTGGAGCTCTGAAGGGTCACCAGGATATGCACAGAATGCCTCTCAAATTTTCCATGAATATCCTGGATGCTCTGCTGATTTGCTGCTTGTGAAAGGTGTCTACTGCAATGCCACTTGGCAAAAAGTCTAAGGCTTCTAAATCAGCATTTACTTCAAGATCTGATGAAGATAAAATTCAGAAAAAAAAAAAGTTGCTTAGTAACACCTATTTGTATTCTTTTAAGCAAGGGTAAATGTTTTACTTTAGTGGAGAGAAATAAACAAGAGGGATTTCTTTGGAAGGTTTTTTCCTACTAGAAGACACTGTTTTCAGGTTTAATTTGTGATTGATTTGAAGGGCAGAGGTGGCAGAGATTTTAATTTCAGCTTGCCGATTACACTTGTTATGCAGATGGTGAAGATTAGAAGAAATCATTTTGTGAAAACGAGATTTAAAATAAAATTAAGCAGACAAGCTTTTCAATAACTGTAAAAATTTTGTCAGTTATTCTCTAAATATCACATTGGCTTTAATTGTATCTCACACTGCAGTGCTTCAGTCACCCTTAAATAGAAATGGGAATGCAGCAGACGACAGTACATATTCCAGAGTTCTTAGAGGTGGAGGAATCCATGGAAAGATTAGGAGCTTTGTCTTATGTGACAGCAAACAGAGATTTCACTTGGCATAAGAATACAAAATGAAAGGCTTCTGCTCAAGAAATGGAGGCACACTGTCACCCACACTCAAAGACAGGGAAAGAAAGACAGGACAAGAAGTAACAGGCTGGAACTGCAGCATGGAAACTTCAGGTAGACATTAGGCAAGAGCTGTAAACTTAGTTATGACTTCAGAATTAAACCCTGGCATGAAAGGTAAATAGAATGTCTCTCTGTGAAAGCTGCAAAGGGCCTTCCTTCGAACTGCTTTTTAAATATGTGATGCCCTTTGCTACCTTTTGCCAGTGCTCTTGCAACACTCCACCCAGGGCAGCAGTCCTAAAAAGAGTGTGGGGTGCCTTTGAAACATC